ATCATAAAAAAGGTAACGTGTTCAACCGCAAGTGTCACTGTATAAGGATTAAGATGGCAAAAAATGACTGTAAGAAAGAATGGAATAGATAAAAGCTGAGTCTAGTATTCAAGATAAAAAAAAAAAAAAAAAGAGGTTTGCCATGTTCCAGTTTTGGGGTAGACCTGAAAATCATATAGGACTTTGCCAAGACGTTTCTAGACATGGCCTATACAATCCAGTTTAATAACTCGATTACAGTTGATAGTTCCCTGAAGATGTTTCTCTTCCTATTCTTTGTACTCATCAGAAGCTTTCCACGATATGTACTCTTTGGAGGTTACTTCCAGTGCCTCAAACCGATTGCAAGTGTCACATGCTTCATATATATTCCATATTGAAGAATATGGCTTTGGATTTCCATTGGAGATCATCCACTTGTACATTAGGCAATACTGTGCACTTCTTTGCCATAATTGCTTGGCGCACTCCATTTCCATACTTGAGCTTGAGCCACCATAGCTACCTTGACAGTCATGAGTCTGTAACCACTCCTCAAACTCCTCTTGTGAACAACTTACCTTCTTCTGGTTACCAGAAGCTGCTAATATTACAAAGCTTGTGCAGTGATTGGCAGAATAGCCTCACCTTGACCAAGTGCCTTCAAAGGTTACTGGTATTTCAGCTACTGCATTCTCATAAGTGTCTTCTTTGCTCATCTCTAGAAATGCAAGTTTTCTAGCTTCAGCTCTATTTTTTTGCCAGTTCTTCTTGGATGGCTTTGGTGTGGGCTGCCAAGAGGACATCCTGCTGTTCATACTAGGTATCAGTAGAAATGCAGAAAGGCATATTCAGAACTTCACAGAGTTTGGCTATGCCTTCCCTTCCTAAACCCATTTCAAAAGCACCAAAAACAACTCTTCAATTTATGTCTTTTCCATGTTTTGTATTTGGTGATGTGGCATCACCACATAAACAACACTTGGCATAGATTGAACTGCTTAATCAATATCTGCTGGTTGAGTCTTCTTCTGACACAACATGGCCTAAGAGGACCAAAACCAAATATCTAGATAAGAAATTTCATGATATGGTTAACAAGTTGGGCAGTTTGCATCTGAAATGATACGCGTGCAGATAGATTTAAGATAGAATAAAACTTTTGTGATAATAACTTTAGACTCATCTGATGAGCATGAAGAGTGTGAATGCACTTTGTTACAAAATTTTTGTAAAATATCCATGCTTAAAAGACAATGACCATGTGTTGATTCCAGTCCAATGTAAGAATTCTCCTCTGAGGAGCTCTCAGTTTCAGAAACTTGAATCTTTCATGAAGATGCTGGTACAGCTGGCAGTGAAATTTGCTTGCTCACCACGTTGTCCTCACTAACAAATGTAATTCCCACTCTTGGCTGTTTTTCTCAATTTTGGTGCTTTTTCA